AGCCTGCGTTTGTGCACAAATGAGTGGGTGTTTTTGTCATTTGGGGGTTGGCTGTGTGGCTGCGTCTTGTTGATACGGGTGCTTTCCTGGGGTTTTAGACACAGCGAGCGCCATCGGTTTCCTTCCCCAGCAGGGAGTCAGATGGGCAGATGAGGGGCTGCTATGGGTCCCAAGGAGGCAGGACATGCCTGACCATGTGAGGATACATAGGTTTTGTCCCAAATCATATTTGAGAGTGAGGGCCAAGGACAAAGTCAGAAAGCAATGAGCAAATGGGCATCACATGTGTGTTTGTGGTGGGAAGGTGCTGAGAGCAGATGTACAAAGCCAAGGTTTCTCAAAGCATGGAGGAAGAGGATCAGGAGAGGGGCATGGTAAGAGGTTGGGGTGGTCTGGCAAGACCCTGGAGACCAGGGCTGCAGCTTGGCCCAGAGGTTGACAAGTCTTGGATGGAGATTGGGAGAGGCTGGTGCCCTTCATAGATGTGGTGGCATTGACTCCCAGGTGTGTGAGTGGGGACCAAACCTAGGAGGAGCCAGGGATATGGGATTTCATAAACCCATAATCATTGAAAAATCATTTTGAGAATCAATGCAGAGTTGTCAGTATTTTATTTTGTCAAACATACACATTGTTAAAACAAAACAAANTTATTATTATTATTGTTATTATTATTTTCAGTTTTATAAAACAATGTAATAGTTAGACATTTACACCCTCACAAAGTGATAACTCCCCTCCCCCAATGATACATCTGACAAGAGTCTTATTTCCCCAGCCTGTCTTGACTGGGGTGGCCTTACCCTGTGTCTTGGGTCACCAACATGCTGCTGCTGAGAAGGGCCTGCCTGCTAGACGTCATCCTCACTTAAGATAATTTCCCTTCAAGACGTAGCATTTCTTTCTGCCTTTTCTCCCAGGTCCATCAGGCATATCTATATATGCCTAAACCCCAATAATTAACAAGTGTCAGGATCTTCTCTGTAAGGCCCCTGGGCCCAGGCAAATCAAGGAAGTGGAGAGTTGTCTCTGCGAGCTCCAAGCGTTTGGTTAAATTTTAGGTTTGGGTGCCAAGCATATGGGGGACCTCTGGTATGTATGGAGGTGGAGGGCACATGCTGGCAGGGGGCACCCTCACTTCCAACCCAGGTATAGGTAGGAAGGTCAAAGCTACTGGGACACATGGGAGAGAAGGTGAGGAGGGAGAGATAAAAAAGATAATGAAGACAGAAATGAAGCTTTCAGAGTAAAAGAAGAGTATAATGGAAGCAGAGTATAATAGAAGGTAATGGAGAGGCTCCAATATTTTCCTAAACATTGCTCAGAAAAACAAGAGCCCAAATAAACTTTTCCTAAGTAGCTGGTAAGCATTTGTATGTCATTTTTTGGGTGATAAGCAAGGACATTAAGACTCAGTGAGCCTGTTTCCTTGATGTGACCATGAGCCAATAAGGGACCTGGTCAGGATCTGAGCCCAGGACAGGCTAACCCCACACCCCGTGCTCACACCCCATGCTCTTCCCACCACCCTGCTGTTCCCACCTCTGGCTGTTGGCCTCTGAGCTGCCTCTGATGATGGACATGACATAACATGCTGTCTGAACAGGGGACCTAATATTAACTACACAGGGACTCCAGCCATAAACCAGGACCATCCCTGGCAAACCAGGATGATGGTCACTGAGTCAGAGGAACAG